TGCACCCTGGATCTTGTTCAGTGGCCCTTGGATGGATCATCATGAGCGCGTGGCAGTCCTAAGCGTGAGGCTGTATGGTGAGACGTTGGAGAAGTGCTGCATGGAAACACGTTAGGATAAAAATTATGCAATATGTTGGGGGACCTGGGAATCGAACCCAGGTCCCAATGGTTGCAATACACATCCTCTACCAACTGAGCCACTTAGCGCGTTTGTATAGATAATAGACAACAATTAATATATATGAAAAAACTTAATCATGCTGAACCATTAAAAAACCGCGCCAAGATTTGAATGCCCCGGTCATGTAATGCCACGTCCATCTTCTTCCTTGTTCTTTCTGCAAACATGAAACAAGTAGCGGGGGTTTTAAACCCCCACTAAGTGGAATAGTAAAAAATAACGAATAGAAGAGGAGTCAACATAAATTGAGCGCGAGATGTTGGTTGAATTCGTCTGGCCTTGACGAATTCAACCATGGTCATGGCTTAGTCCAATTTTTCCTGATACTTAAAGCCCTAATTTGAAGCTTCTGAAAACCTAATTTTCGTCCATGGTAGATTTGGATTCAGACAGTATTAGTCCAATTTACTTATACCAATCGCTTCAGGAGGTACCTATTAGTATGAATCAAGCAAGAAAACAGATTAAAAGCACATGAATCGTGTTATGCAAGTTTGAAAAACAAGACAAACCGTGTGGCCTAGGTTCTTGGATTCTTCACGTGTTAGGATTGATTCTTGATGCCAATAGACTCCTGGAAGGTCCAGTAATGTGTTGGAATAAATTTTAGGCCTTGAATTGCCCTGCAAGCATGAAATCAGTTTCCAAGTTTTTGTTGAAAAGTTGCAAATTGGTTCTGAGCTTTCAGTAGCTTTTTCGTGTGTGCCTCAGTAGGGTTTCCTTGTGCATATGTATGTGAATGATTCTAGGTCAAAAACAAGCCCATGGATCCATGAATTTATGATTTGAATATTTGATTTTCAATCATGAAATTTCAATCTTTTTTTCAATGAAACCTTGCCAATTATGGAAAATCTTGTCCCCTTGGATGAGAAACGACTTTGCCAACTTGCCCTAGTTTGATTTGCTGCACAAAAGATCTACAAAATCATATCTTTGAATTTCTTATAATAAAAACTAATTAAATGAATTAATATAAATATAAATCCAATTAATTAATTAGAAATAAGAAAATAAATTATTTTGAGCTCAATGGGTCGTGCATAGGCTTTGGGTAATGATTCAAGGAAGAATTTGAGGCCCATTAGCAAATTTGAAGGGTTTTAGGTAAAGTTGACTTTTGAAAGTTCCCAAAAATTTCCCAACTTCTCCAATGCATATCTTGCTCAATTTTGAAGCTATGATCATGTTCTTGGACATTTTGGAAAGGTCTTGAAGTCCTCTAACCAATGCCTTTGGTCCCATGTCATTTTGATTTACCGATCTCAAGTTATGGTCTTTGACTTAAAGTGCCTTTTTGTTGACTTTTGAAAATGACCTATAATGTTGAAATTGATAACTTTTTGTGAGAGCATTTCTTGGACTTGGAATGAGAAGATGAGTTGTAGGAAATGTCATCCCATTCAAAATGAGCTTTAGATGGGATTTTTCTGATAAACCATGAGGAAGTTATGCCTTGGTCAATTTGCAGTTGACTTTTCAACTGTCCAAAAATAGAAACTTTTGTATCTTGAGACTTTTTGAGCCATGCTTGTGGAATCATGATCAAGAATTGATCAAATGATGATTGTGGCTTCAAAATAAGATGTTGACCAAAAATTTTGACTTTTGACTGTCAAATGACCATTTTGCCCCTGCAGTTGACTGTGGAGCATTTAGGTCTTTTGACTGTGCCACTTGATGCTGTGAGCTATGAAGCTTGACATATGGATGCTTGGCAATGTATATAGGCATATGAGACTTGATTAGGCCTTTGGAAACCTCAATTTCTTTGCAAGAACCAAAACCCTAATTTTGACTGTGCTAGGAGGCAATTGGACTGTGCAATCCTTGAGGGATTTTGAAGCTTGATTTTGCCAAATCTTGAAGAATATGGGAGGGCAAATTTTGGGGTACAACACCATATTAATAAGATAATAACGCAGGTCCAATTGGAAAAAGCTGGAACTGTACAAATCTAAACCAAAATTAACGTACATGTTTGCTTCTCTACAGCTACTGTAGAGATTGAAAGTAGAATCAGATAATTTATGACTAAATCTCTAAAATACCCAATACACCAAATTCCAGCAGTTCGGAAAAACAGTTGCAAACAAAATCAAATCAGCAAAATCACAGAACTACCGAATCAATTACAAACCTAACTAAGCAAAAATCTGGAAATATATTATATTACAAAAATCTCATAATCAATTACAATCCTAAACTAAAAATCGCAGAAATGAGGTGAACAAAATCAATTTCTATCCAAAATCCAATCTCAGAATTCCATATCAAATCCAATAAACTAAATAAAATCTGGAAATATAATATATTACAGCAAAATACTGAATAAATTACAATCAATGTTAACAAATTATAAAACCCTAAAATCAAAACCTAATTGAAAAAAGCCTATAAATACAAGGAGAAAAAGAGATAGAAAGGGGATTTTTTTGTTGACTAAAAAAGAAAAGGAAAAAGATACCGCGAAGAATTAAGAAACGGAGAAGCGAGAACAACTTGAATCTGATGAGGAGGTCGAAGCCATCGCGAGCCAGCATCGTTGAAGAAGGGAAGAAGGGTTGAGGTTTCATTGTCGGAAACCACAACTGTCATTGACGGCCGCCTTCAACCACCCATCGTTGCCTTTAATCAGAGTCAGACACTTGGATAATCAAAAGGGGTAACTCACTCCTTCAGTTTTGTTGTTTGAATGATGTAGGGCTAGGGGTTTGTGGGGGGTAGATCTTTTTTTCTTCCGGCGCCGCCGTGGTTGGGGGTCGGGGCTTTAGGATTTGATAGGAAGAAGTAGACTAAGGGCTATGTTGCTAGAGTGAGAGAGAGAGAGAGAGAGAGAGAGAGAAAGGTGAAGCCACTATAAAACAAAAAATGGGGAAAATGAATAAAAATAATTATGTTATGCGTTGAGATCCCATACACGCGCACCACCCTTGGTTATCGTACTCCCTCGTTTTTCATCCATCCGATCGTGATCAGACGGCCACGAGGCCAAGTCTGTGTTAGCAACCGTGCACCCTCATCACAATAGAATACGCTGACCATCTCTTAAAATTATAATGGGCCAAGTCCATTAAGGTTAACACCCCTTTTTTACTATATCACCAAAACACCACACGAATTGTACCCCCCTTTGTCTGAACCACTTTGGGCCTAACCTAACCTAATTACAACACCCCCTATTTTACTGGACAACTAGGAAGCGCACCCATCTGATTTAACTTAATTAATTAATTTTTTTATTTCTTTTATATTATTATTATTATTTATTTTTCTATATAATTATCATTTTTTATATTATTTTATTATTATTATTATTATATTATTATTATTACTTATTTCTCTTTATAATTAATTAATTATTATTAATTATTATTATTTATATACTAACAAATAAATTATTTTATATCAAAATCGCATATATTATTTTATATATTATTTTCATTAAAATATTTTCTAATCATGCATTAATCAAGATCTTTGCAGTTAATACGATTAAAAAACACTAACAAATCATCAAACTATTTTTCGCAACAAATTAATCTAGACAACTATTTTTTGCAAAAGGGTTTAAAACAAGTTTTGACTTACTGCGCATTTAGTCAAAATCTCCACAATCACCACTCCCGACCAAAGGGCGAGGTGATTCAAAATATGTTTGCAAACTCCTAAAAAACACCAACCTCATACAAACTACGAATTGGGACTCTGATTCCTCTTAAGAGGATACGTAGGCATACGATCAAAAATCGTGGTGATCCTTTCTAATTAAAACTTAAAATCCTGTTTACCCCAAACCTAAACCTAGAACCGAGTATCCTTGTGAACAAGATAAAAGAAAGGTGCCTAACACCTTACTTTCGTCTAATTGAGTCCGAAACCTGGAATCCCTGCGAATTAGGGTTTTCTGTTAGATTCCCTTCCCTTAGGATAAAAACTAATAGTGGCGGCTCTGATTAAAAATCCAGTTACTACACATCTTTCAGTTGGATGAAGTTGTCAGTATTGTGGCCATGACCTTTGCGAAAATGGAAGTACTTCAATTTGTCAGTCCAAGATGTCTTTTTGTTAGGGTAAAGGGGTTAGATTCCTCCTTTTTGAAACTTTATGTTGGCACAATCTTAATAGATCTTCTCCTTATATGCATTCATCAATGTATACTTCTCGTATTGACCCTGCATAATTAGTCAGAATCGTCCTTCCGCCGGTTGTACTCATTCACTATTGGGCAACTGAAGTTGGTGTCAGCGAAGACATGGTTATTAAGTGTTTGTTCAACTTCTCTTCCAGGATCATGTAAGACTGATACATGATCATCATATTCTTGGTGGTTTATCCCTTTTTCTTCCTATCTTTAACTTGTAGGGATGGTCACATAGAAGAGCATTTTAGAAGACCCAACACTTAAGGCCTTCTTCAGATTCTTCTACTTTAAAATCAACTTGAGTAAACCGATCCATATAAGACCATATAATCTCTTTATTCCCTTAGACAATCCTGCTCAAAGAAGCCATCGTCTTCCTTTTTCAGGCAATAAAGTGCATAAAGAACCGTCCATAAAAGTATATCCATGATTCATTGCTTTTGTCAGTAGGCCATTTAACCAAAACCTGGTTGGGCAGACCAGAGTTAATGTGAACAACTTGCACTTGGAGGCTTCATTAGTACTAAATTAATTCAGTTGATCATTAACGAGCTACACATGCTCGTCCGAATCTCCCTTTCCATCGTACTCTCCCTATGAGGCTTCTCCATCGATTTTGGTATTTTACTACCCAAAATTCTGGCGCATATATGATGCTTTGGTTGATTCTTTGATGGTTGATTTTCCATTTGTCCTGGGGGAGGAGCAAGACTACCTCGATATCCCTCAGAACTTTAGGGAGGAGTATGATGCTTCTTGCTCATATGTTAATTCTTCTACTTAGGAGATTCATCCTTCTTCGTTGTGGTCGACTCATGGGCGGAAGTTTGAGTGCTCCTTGATAAAACTTCTTGAATGGTGTTTCCACGTGAAGGAGCATTATGGAGACTTTATTTGAGGTGAAATAAACTTTCTTTTATCGATTGCAAATATAAAATATGTAGTGCAAAAGAGTGAGAAAGGAATACATCTTTTTAGTGTGCCATCTAAGAATTTGATTGTGTATTCTTGGCAAGAATTCAATGCACATTGTGCTTATCAAAAATCAAATCAAAATCTTTCCTATTTGAGTCTCCCAATCGATTGACTAAGGGATCCAATCGATTATATTTTCAAATTTCTTAAGATTTTCTGAAATCTTCATTAATGATGTGATTTGATTTGCTCGAGGCACAAGTTAAGCTTGAAATTGATTTGAAACCTTTGTGTCAAGCTTTTCTAATCGGTTGGAATTACGTGCCAACTGATTGGGCTTACATAGCTCAACCTCATTGGTGCATGCTGGGCATTGTGTTGGATTTTTTACTTTTCAACACCCCCATTTGACATTTTTTGCACTCCTTTGCTAGAAAATCTAAAATACTCATCTTATGGATCAGAAAGTAATATATTTTTTAATGAAATATGGAGGATGCTTGTTGAGGTGAAGTAGAAACTATATGTTATTGTTGGTGTGGGGGTAAAGGTTGAAAATGGAGGATTTGAGAATGAATAGTAACATGGAGGATATGAGTTTATGGATGGTGGATATAAGTTAGGTGTAAGTGGTGTATACTCGTGAATAAAATACATACTTGGTGATGGAGTTGCAACAAGAGTGTTGGTTGTATAAGGTGTACAAATTTTCCATAGAAAAGATGGAAATAAAGGTGTGGTAGGAGTGATGTCCATAAAGTAGAGGTTGAAGGTGGAGTAAAATTGATATGCCATTAGAAGTGTTGATGTTCAAGAATGAAAACACCAACGGTTAGGATGTTAATTCAAGAATCCTAACAAAACTAATAAAAACTATAAACTAATAAGACAATACAATTATTTTAAAAAATAAAGATAAAAAATAGCTTTTCATTTTATCGATATCCTGTCATAGACACTACATATATATATATATATATATATACTAATGAGCCATTAACTAAAATACCCAAATATTAATAAAAGTCTAATAGTAATACAAATAAAAATTCAACTAAAATAAATTCTTCTTCTAAATAAAATATTTAAATTCTCTAATCTAACTCCATAATCCTAACACAATTACTCTATATCATTCTTAATCAATTTTAAATTAAAATATGTTAACAATTAACTATTTTTTAGTTGCAGTAATTAACAAAAATGAAAGTAAATCATTAATGTTGTTTGGTTAAGTACGTCACGAATCATGCACACCCTATTTTACAAATATGTAAAATATTATTTATTTAAAAATATTGTTTTTTGAAAAATATGTGATTTTTTTTTTTTTGTATATTAGATAAATTATTCACTATTTCTTAAAAGGCAATCTAGATTTTTGAAAGAAAAAACATTCTAAAAAAATTGAATATAAATTATTTACTATTATTATTATTATTATTATTACTATTATTATTATTATTATTATTATTATTATTATTATTATTATTATTATTATTATTATTATTATTATTATTATTAATTATCAATATCATTATAAGTCAAAGTAATTTTTGTCAAATTCCATTTTTCTATTAATTGCAGTCTCTTTTTTTTATTTATTATTATTATCAGTATTATTATAGTCAAAAGTAAATTTTGTCAAATTCTACTTTTTATTGATTGCATTCCATCTCTTAAGAATTTAAATCCTATATATTATTTTAATTTTTTTAAAATAAATTCCTATATAATATATTATCCATTTAATATTAAGTTCAGTCAAAATACATAAAAATACATAATGTAATATATAATATATTAATTAAAAGTAGTAAAATCCACCAATATAACATACATTATAGCTTAATAAAAATATTTTATTATTCTTTTTATATATATTTCTCACTTAATCTTAAATGATCATTTATTTTAGAACGAAAAAAAAATATTTTCAAAACAATCATTAAAAGTATTTCTATGACAAAGATAATAATAATATTATAATATTATATTTTCCAAATAATATTATATCAAAATATATTTGGTATAAATTTTACCTGAAAAAAAAAAACCAGTGTCTGAGATTCAATCAAAATTCTTGTAGTAAAAGAAGAAGAATTTTTTTCTTCTATGATGAAGAAAGAGAGTGTTTGATGTGAAAAGCGAAGCTCCGAAAATCTATCGTTTTGGATTTTGATCGTATCAGCGAAATCATCGCCACTTCAATCGGTGTCGTTTTGATTCCTTGCTCAATAACTGTCACTGACTTGGTCAGATTCAATTCAAGTAAGCTCAAACCCTAGCTTCATTTGTTGTTTTCAATTCAATTTGATTCGGTTAATCGATTTTTTTATGCTTAATTTATGCTATATTTTGGTTTTGCTTCAATCATTGACGGAATAGTGAAATTTTCTATCTTATCTTTTTTTTTTTTTTTTGTTTCTTTCTGGATTTATGATGATGGTGAAGCTAGTAGATGTTGTAGCTAGAGTGATGATAAACTTGGATTTTTTTTTCTTTTAAGATGAGATTTGGAAATTGGAGGGTTATTAGATATGATTGGATTAATTTGGATTGTGTGTAATCTGTAATTGGATTTTGTAACCAAATTGATGCAACATTTGTTGATTATTCATGCTGCCATTTATTGAAGGAAATTTTGTTGCATGGCCATTGAAAATGTTAAAGGATTTTTGTGTTAGATTTTTTTTATTATTATATAATGTATGAGATTATGTTACAAAGATTCAACTATGTTTTATGTTGTGTGTCGACTTCCATACTCAACCCTCCCATTTTATTGGGGCTTGGAACCAACTATGCATAACAAGGCTTACATACTGGAAATTTTATGATACAAAAGTACTGCTTAGAGAAAATTTTATAAGACAGTTGTAACCGACAATGTACTTGTATGAGATAGTGATATAAGTTAAGCTATTAAAAATGGAGGTGTGTGGTAAGGTTAGACATGATAAGTTTATAAATGGTATCATTAGAGAGAGAATTGGGGTAACACCCATCTTAGAAAAGATTGTAGAAACTAGACTTGGGTGATTTGGACAATGGAGAGAATAAATGCAGATTCTATAATAAAGAGAGTAGATCAGATGAAGGGTAGTCAAATCACCAGAGGTAGAGGAAGACCTACAAAAACTATAAAAGAAACTACTATGAAAGATTCAATGGTTAGTAAGTTAAATAGAAACATGATATATGATAAGGCATATGACACTTAGTGGGACAAGACTCGATTTTTGTTGTACATAATGAAAAAGATTGCAGGAAGGTGGATTCTAAAGTTTGTTAATAAATTGTTATTATGGCTTGTGGAGACGAAGGCACAATTAATATCTGTTATTAGAAATCTGAGTGGTGTATGAGAGTCACAAAATTTTCTTTTGAAAGGTTGAGTGATATATATGCGGAAACTGCAATGGTGTTTATCTTGGAAGAAATGTGTACCTTATGCTTTCAAAGGATTTGATCCTGAGATGTATTGAAATTGTTTGTAGTTTGTTTGGAGTCCCACATTGTTTAGATTCTCGAACTGTTGGATGTATAAATGTACTTGGGCTCCCTCACCCACGCTAGGCATGAAGGTGAGTATTGAAGTTGTTTGTAGTTTGTTTGATTGAGTCCCACATTGCTTAGGTTCCCAGACTGTTGGATGTATAAAGGTGCTTGGGCACCCTCGGCCTTTGAGCTAGTTTTGGGATGAAATCCAAGCTCATTTAACAAGATGGAAGGGGGACATTTGTGGTGCGATTTGATATTCTACTAGAAAATCCATTGTAGAACTTGAGAATGCCCTAGAAATATGTACCTTATATTTTGATCTTAGTTCTAACTTGCGGTTGTGGTTGTAATTACACTGCATACCTTGATATTGTGGAAAAATTCAAAGAAATGCAGCTGTAACTGCAGTTGCAATATTGTTGCAAAGACCTCTAAAGCTTATTGTGCCGCAATTGCAGTGACCAAATTTAGAACTGATTTGGATTGCACAGATCTCAATAGGAAAGGTTTTATTATAAGTCATGCATTATTGAGCACATCCTTAGGGCTTTATTATAAGTCATTTATTACTATACATATATTCAAGTTCTCTAACTTTTGCCAGAGTTTACTTTGATGTTTGTTGAATGAACAGAAGCTCTATTTATTGGTATAGCTGACTACTGAGTGCGGGCAAACTGTTCTCTTGGTATGAATGGATCCTCTGTGGTGAGTGTTTTTAAACAAAAAAGGGTAATATTATATCACTTTATATAGAAATTTAAACGGTCATATATTTTCTTTGAAAAAGAAAAGAATAACTACATAGACTAAGGAAGATTGTGATTTTGATCACCATCCAAGGAAGTCGAATCCAGTTTCCAGCCTCTGTAATTCAGTAGTGTTGAAAATAAAAAGGAAAAAGATGATAGCATGCATGGAAAGGGCCAAAAAAGTAAGGAGAAATGGGTTATAGATGAGATCTCTTTAGTGGTGCCGCATTTGCTAGCCTCAACCTATATTGATTTGATTCTACTTCTACTTCTATATTGGTTTGATTCTACTTCTACTTCTACATTTCGAAACATATACCTTCTGCTTTTAGTTAACAATGTACTACATACAACTGCTCTCATGACTTCCCCGAAGACTTAAAAATACTCCTTAACTTAAATTTAGAGACAGACTAGCTAATTGTTTTCGTGCACATTAATAATTTTTCTATGCGTGTGTCTGTGTGTCTATCTATATTTATATTATGTGCATGCAATGGGTGTTGTTCAGTGCTATTAATGCATTTAGTTTATGGTTATCTCTCTATTTTGGTTGTGATATTTTTAAATTGGTTGTGACAATTGTTTAATTTTCTCGAGTTACTAAATAGTCTGTCTTTTATCAGCTTTGCTGCAGATATTGGAGATTGATATGATGTCTCTGCACCTACCCATCCCCATACAGTACTGATTAACCTCTGATTCTTATCTAATGTGTAGCATGTGACAGTGCCTGTTTGATGTGCCACACCAAGCTGGCTAAGGCGTAATTAAACTTCAAGTTTGGCAGTTTAAATTTATTCAAGTTTGGCAGTTTAGATTTATTGAATGAGAGGATCTATAAATTATAGTTTCATTCAAGTTGAAGGTAGAAGTTTTGATGTGAAAAATAAAAAGGCATCTGAATAAAGTTCTTGGATACACTTTCAAGTTCAATTTGAAGAAAGGGGATTGCTTCCAAATTGAAAGAATTATTACACCGTGCTCACATTATTCAGTACATGATATATTACTTTTTTAGTACATTTTTTAATTATAAAGGATTTGGTATTATGGTATAAGGAAAAGAATGGAGCGTATTTCGGAAAAACGATATCCTCTCAGTGCAGTAGATTACAAGTTATATGAAGAGGTTGGGGAAGGCGTCAGTGCCTCAGTATTCCGAGCTCTCTGCATTCCACTCAATGAGATTGTTGCCATCAAAGTGCTTGATCTTGAGAAGTGCAATAATGATTTGGTATGTGGGTTAATCTCTTGTACAATTTGTGATATTTATCTTTTTCAGTTATCTCTGCCTCTGCTTGTGCTGAATTTTATTGCACGTTTGGTTACTATTGATCGAGCGATCCAACACTTTCGACTTCTAAAGGTGTGAAAAATATTGTGCTTGTTTGAGTTTGCCAAGTTGCTATGGAATGAGGCTCTTTTTATGTTAAGCTCTGTTGAATCCAATTACCCTTATTTAACCTAACCTTGCATATAGCATCATTATGTTGTTTTCATATTGTACTTCGCTAATCTTTTCACTTAAGTTATCTTGCTACATGCTTGGAGTCACTGTTACACTATTTGGTGCTAAATCATGTATTTGTATCTGTTCAGTTGTTTGCTCTTTAAGTCTTGTGAGTTAATATGCGTACTTGCACAGTTGACTCCATTTTCTGTATTACTAAAATAATTTCTATCATTAGTTCTTTGTCCGATAAATAGTTATGCAAATGTTTATTCCATTGCTGTACACAATAAATTGTGTGAACATCTGTGTGGGTATGTATTCCATTTCTGTACATTCATAATGATAGGTGCACAAATATATGCAGGATGGAATTCGGAGAGAGGTACAGACCATGAGCTTGATTGATCATCCAAATCTTTTAAGAGCGTATTGCTCTTTTACTGCTGGGCACAGTCTTTGGGTTGTGATGCCCTACATGGCTGGTGGCTCGTGCCTTCATATAATGAAATCCGCCTTTCCTGAGGGTTTTGAAGAACCTGTTATTGCAACTGTATTGCGTGAGGTTCTCAAGGCTCTTGTTTATCTCCATGCCCATGGGCACATACATAGAGATATTAAGGTATTGTGCTACATATTTCGTGAGGTTCTCAAAGCTTTTGACTTATACCACTTCTATCCTTTTTAAAAGATATGCATCCTTTTGAATTTTGATAATGTATATTGAGAATTTGTCAGTTAAAATTCTTAATTAAAAACTAAGTAGAATAGTAAGATCAAATGATTTTAAAAGAACTTAGTTTTCTTCTTTTGTGCTGTTCTGTATCTGAAACCTAGTAATTAATGTCTTTTTTATTTTCATAAATTTTTATCTACCTTTTCTTCACATGTTTGTATTTATCAAGTTCTCTTTTATCCTCTTTTAAACCTTCTTAACTATGCAGGCTGGGAATATTTTGTTTGATTCTAATGGTGCGGTCAAAGTGGCTGACTTTGGAGTGTCTGCGTGTATGTTTGATACTGGAGATAGGCAACGTTCAAGAAATACTTTTGTTGGAACACCTTGCTGGTACCATTTACTTTCTATCGAACTCCTCTATTGTAGTTTTTCGTATGAAATCTGGCTAGTAAAACTGTTTAAGCTACAACTATGCTAATTTTCCACAGGATGGCTCCAGAAGTTATGCAGCAATTGCATGGATATGATTTTAAGTGAGTGTCTTCTATTCCCTCTCTCCACCCACCAATCACTCTTTTTCCTTTTCAAAAGGATCTTGCTCCGGGATATTTAGTCTTTGTTAAGTTTTTTTATTTTAATTTTCATTTTCCTATAACAGAGCAGATATATGGTCGTTTGGTATAACAGCACTTGAACTTGCTCATGGTCATGCCCCATTTTCCAAGTATCCACCGATGAAAGTAATTTACTTGTCTTGTGTCTTCTAAATTTGTCTGTATTTGCCTACTGATAGCTCTGTGAGCTAAGATTTGAATTCTTTCCCTTATTTTCCTGGATGCAGGTTTTGCTTATGACTTTGCAGAATGCCCCTCCAGGTCTTGATTATGAGAGAGACAAGCGATTTTCAAAGGTTTGTGGTGCTCAGTCAAATTTTATAGCACCTGTTACTCAAAAAGGTTATTTATATTATTATTCTTCCTTCCTTCCCAGTCTTTCAAAGAGTTGGTTGCCACTTGCTTAGTCAAAGACCCAAAGAAGCGTCCAAGCTCAGAAAAACTTTTAAAGCACCACTTCTTTAAACATGCACGTGCCACCGAATATCTTGGTCGCACCATTCTTGATGGCCTTGCTCCATTAGGAGATCGTTTTAAAACGCTGAAGGTTTGCCGTTTAATTCTGAATTTTTCTGTTCTTTGTAAAATTGTTTGGGTTTTAATATCATTCCTCTGACTTGCTTGTGTGTTTTAGGCTAAAGAGGCAGATTTATTGATGCAGAACAAGGCTCTTTATGAGATGGAGCAATTATCTCAGGTAGGTTGATCATAAATTATCTGTGATTTGTGCTTGCTTCAGGCATGGTCTATAAAAGTTGTGGTTATTAGTGCAGTCTTAAGTGCATGTCATTTGCCTTATTTCCCTTTCCGTGTTGCATCTGACTTAAATTTGTAATTTGCAATTACACCTTGAGGACTTGAGTATGGGCTTATATACTATATTTTACGATGCAACTATTTCAAATACAGAAAGAATATATTCGAGGAATTAGTGCCTGGAATTTTAACCTGGAAGATTTGAAGAGTCAAGCTGCTCTTGTAAGTATTTTCACCTTCCTATTTTGTATATTCTGTTTATGTGAACTAGTTGGGGAAGTTGGTCATTACTGGGAAGTATCATCTTTTTTGTTGTAAACATTTTTGTGTTGGCAACAGATTCAAGATGAAGACATGTCAATTGCAGAAAAGCCAGATACAGATAAGAAGAAAAAAGACATATCAAATGACTCAAAGGTTCCCATATCAAATGACTTAAAGGTTCCCGCGGAGGAGCAATCTGCTTCTAATCATCCAGAGGGTACATCCACACTGGACAAGGAGGTACTGTTGTTGTTGTTGTCCTAAATGATCTTATCATTTTCCTTTGGCTCTTTTTGAACTCTAAACCTTTTTAAAAAATAACTGGATGTGCCTGTATCTATCGTATATCTGTTACATCTTATTTCAGGATGGATTCAACAATCTTCAGGACTTGGAAAGTTCACTTGCTTCATTCCCTGTTAAACCTCTTCAAGCACTCAAGTATGCTGACCTTTTACATTTTGTATTTCTTCCATCTCCTACTTATTTAGTGCTATCTTTTCTAGTGTTGGTACAATGTTTGATTGCGACTAGTTAAAGATTTGAGTTTTTTACTTTACGTAATGTTGTTTCGTTTTGTTATTATAATAAAGTAGTTGCCAAACAAACTAGGTCCTTTATTTACCACTCATCAATTCTTCATTGAGTTTTTGTGTATATATATGATGTGTCCATCTTTTTCCTATTATATGATCTATATAACATCTCCTTTATAGTTCATGCAATGTTATTTCAAATCCTTTTCTTCATTCATCTTTAAAAACATAAAATGCAATTCAATTTATTTTTTTCCGTATGATATAGAAGTAAAAGATAAGTTTGGACAAGGCAAATGCTACACATTTAAACTTTCAAATGATTTTGTTTTGGTTAAAAAATTTATTGTATTTTCAAGAATTATGTCATAATTTAGCAGTTCAGTTTCAATGAGAAAATGTTATTTCTGATATGCAATTTGTGCAGAGGTTGTTTTGATGTCTGTGATGATGATGATGTCAATGATACTAGTCCAAAGGATTTGGATCACAGTTATGGAAGAATTGATAATGAAAGTTCTGGGCCAAGTAAAATGTCGCCTCAAAAAGCTACTCAGCCTAAGAAATTTTTCAGTAGCTCTTTACAACCTGATTTTCCCAAAAAAGTTACTGATGTGGACAGGTAACTTTTATTTGGACAACTCCATGCAAAGGAGTTATTTTTTCACTATATGAATTTTTTTGAGCTTGTTATTAGAACTTCTATACAGAGGCCTATTTGGAAATGAGCTTCTTACCAAATTGAATTTATGTTACTAGAACTTGCAAATGCTTGAGATTTGCAACCGTGCATGGGGTGCAGTGTCTTTGCCACATTATTTTTGTTATTTGTTATGTCTCTGTCACTCTTTTTTTGGGTAGTTTATTAACAAATAGCGTAGTCATTGTTTTCATTATAAAGTGAAACATGATTATTGAGATTTTATAGAAATTTGGTATATGTTGCTAGCTTTATTTTGTAATGATATGGAGCTATGAGAATGGGGATATTTTATTTTTATTTAGTAGAGTACATTTTCATTTCTTTACTACTGCTGCATATTTGATTGAGTTGCAGTATTATTGTACTAATTATAGTTTTTGTGTATCTTGAAAGGGATTATTTACAAACAAAATATCCTTCCGAAAGGAATCACAGCGGTCCATTGTTATATCGACAGAGGAAAGATATCAACAACTTTTCATCTGGTATGTATATTTTTATGCAAATTTGATTGGTGTTTTGATAATCTTTATGTTTTTTTCCCTCTTATCAACTAGATTTGTAGTTGTTTTATCAGTAAAATAATCAGATCGAGAAATGGCTCTTACATGATTTTTTCAATGTTGCTTCCATATGCAGTTGATGACACATCAGAAGGAGCGGTTGTCCAGCGTAGGGGACGGTTTAAGGTCACATCAGCAGATCCCAGTTCAATGGTATGTATTACATGGCATATCTTTATTTTCCTGCCCAGTATACTTGTAATCTCAAACAAGCTTTATTTGCTTGCTGAATCATCAATGGGGGAAGTCATTCATCTTTCAATCTTGAATTTTCCCATTAGTATTTGTATCACTCACTCTTTTGTTATATTGATACTATAAAAAGTTATGGATGCATTTAAATGTTCTACAACGTTTGACACTTCATAACACTGAGGATGGAAATTAAGTGACTTATGTTTTAGGCTATGACTTTGTAATCATTGCCTTTTTTTTAACTCATTCAGGGTCTTTCAAACAACTCTTCTGGCTCAGTTGCTGGAAGTCCTACTCCTAATCCTACCAGTCCCCCAAAACAGAACTTAATGACTGCTTCTATTCTTCCATCACTGCAGTGCATCTTGCAACAGAACGGCTTGCAGAGGGTATGCTTCTGTTTGTATTTCTTAGATTTTTGTATAACGAGTAGTCAAAGGCATAAATTCATTTTTCCCATGGGTTTTTGCCAGGAAGAAATTATTAAACTGATAAAGCACACAGAGCAATCTTATGGTATTTCCTCCTGTCTTTATGTGTGCGAATCTATCTATGTATATATTTGTGTACTGGCCCTTAAAACCAGATAATGTTGTTTGCGTCGTTTGAATAATTTCACTTGTAGCAGGTAAGAATGAATCAATAGAGGCAGGAGCAGTTGATATTCCGCAGGTAAGTTACAGTTCTTATTACATATCAAATTTTAAGAACCTCTTAACATTATGTGATCAAAAATAATGTTTCTCCAGTCATACTTTTTTTTCAATGTTGTTGCATTGATTTCTTTAACCTGTGAATGTTTCAAAGCATTACTATGGGTGTTGATCAGTATTTGTCAGCATCCATAGAAATAATACACATGCTTGGTATGCTGCGTTTTTAGAGACGGAGAAGAGCAGCCAAATAATGCATTTTTGGTGCATGTCATGACTTGAAATCATATTTGTGCTCTCAGCCGTGTTTTCAATGCCCCATTTTTTCTCTCTGAAATGATAATTCTTTTGTCATACCAATTATTGATCAGTGTTTACATAGGCCATAGAGAATGTTCTTAAGTAGTTAAGAGGAACAATGGTTTTCTTTTATTTCTTTCAACCGTGGGGGGCTGTTTGGGGTTTTGGTTACAACCCGCTGTGCTCTCAGCCGTGTCTTCAAAATTCATCGCCAAGTCAATGCCCCCTTTTTTCTCTCTGAATTCTGAAATGATAATTCTTTTGTCATACCAATTATTGATCGGTGTTTACATAGGCCATAGAGAATGTTCTTAAGTAGTTAAGAGAAACAATGATTTTCTTTTATTTCTTTCAACCTTGGGAGGCTGTTTGGGGTTTTGGTTACACCCCGCTGTGTATTGTTTAATAATCATTTATTTAAACTCAACACTCCAAAGAGAGGAGATCAAATGAAAGGTAGTCTAATAGTTACTGGTAGAGGAAGAACACCAAAACATTAGAAAGGATGTAGATTTAAATGCATTGTTTGTTGACATGATTTATGACTGAATATTATGAAGTCGTTTGAGCCATGTGTGGACCCCACCACCGAGTCAGAAAAGGCTGTTGTTAGTTAAACTTCTCATGCTCAGCAGTAAAATCCATGCAATTGTAGCACAAGGTTGAAAGGAAGAAAGTATATTGAAAATTTTGATATTTTGAATTTAGGAACAATGGTTAGCATAATTTGGGGTAAGAAATAAAAACTTAAGCTGAAGCTTAATGACAAAAATAATCTTTTGTATTTTTTGTTATCTGTCAAGGAGTTTGTTACTATACTTGCTGTTTTGTTGAGTTGCCTCATATTAGTGCCACTTGCAGGCACCACTTGCTACAACTAGAGAAAAAGAGCTGCATTTGCAGGTGATTCAACTCCAACAGAGGTATATGAATGTAACTATTTCTGAAAGTTTTGTATGTTTACATTCCACATACATCTTATTTTCAACTCTTATGGCAGCATTGGAAGCCTTGTCGACGAATTGCAGAGACAAAAGATGAAAAATGTTCAGGTGTGTTAATCTTGTTGTTACGCATCACAGTTGCTTGCCATGCAAGCTACTTAACTTTTTACCTTCCTTACATAGTTAGTTAGTTAGTTGGTTTGTGTGGTTGTGTTAGTTACTAACTAACTAACTGTTCCTAATCTCTATATAAGAGGGATCTCTTTGTAACCTTTGTACGGAAGATTAATCCTTTCTTTTGGTTTAATGAGAATGAGGTATTAGTTGCACCATTAACATGGTATCACCTGCAATTTCCGCATCTCTCCTTCTTCTTCCTCCTACCCTCTAATTTTCTGTTTTTCTTTCTTAACCTTCCTTCTCTTCCATGGTTTTGCCCAGTTTTGAAGATTTCTCCACAAACACCACAAACCCTTACTATCTTCACCCTAATAAAACCCCTTCTATTGTTCTTGTTTCGCCATTACTTGACAACAAGAATTATCATTCCTGGGCAAGATTGATGCATATTGCGTTAATCTCCGAAAACAAAGAACGATTCATCGATGGCACTCTTCATAAACCTACTTCCACAGATCCTCTCTACGCTCCGTGGATCCGCATGGCTTCAAAGATCCATTACTGAATCCATTGCCAAATCCGTTCTTTGGATTGATTCTGCAGCAGGTGTTTGGATCAATCTGAAAACTCGTTTTTCACAAAGTGACATCTTTCGGATTTCTGACATTCAAGAAGAACTGTATAAATTACGGCAAGGATCAATGGAGGTTTCAGATTACTTCACAGAGCTGAAGGTCCTTTGGAATGAACCGGAAAATTATCGACCAGTTCCACGTTGCAAATGTGCTATTCAATGCAGTTGCAATGCTATCTCTTCTTTGCAGATTTATCGTGATCAAGACTGTCATTCGGTTTCTTAAAGGGCTCAATGAGAAGTTCTATGCCACCAAATCCCAACTTATGCTTTTCAATCCCCTCCCTCCTATTGGCACAGTCTTTTCTATGATCATTCAGCAAGAAAGAGAGTTCTCCACACCTCTTCTTGATCTATCATCCACTGAAGTTTCTGATCCTTCATCATCTCTCATGGCTAATGCTGTTCAGAACAAACCTAAGTGGAAATGGTCAGGACCTGCTATAGGCACAAATCGTGTCTGCACCCATTGTGGAAGAACTAACCGCACTATAGAGACTTGCTTTGTTAAACCTGGCTATCCTCCAGGATTCAAGACCAAAGCTAAAGCCTCTCAATCTTCTCTTGCTGATCATTCTACATCTAACAATGATTCTACTGGTGCAGGAACTTCAAGTGCCAAGTCCTTTGGTTTCCCTCAAGAGCAGTATCACAGTCTTCTTGGCTTGTTACAACAATCTCAGTCTAACCCTCACCCTACACCAATGCTATTTCCAGCACACCTCTTGCCTTGACATTTAAGACTCATCTTCTGATGATAAGCCCCTTACAATGTGGATCCTTGATACAAGTGCTACAAATCATATCACCTTTATCCTTACCTCTTTTGTGTCATATCATACCATATCACCTTTAACTGTTTCACTTCCTAATGGTTCCACAGTTATGACTCACATTTCTGGTTCTGTCCATATCTGCCCTAACCTTACATTGCATCATGTTTTGTACATCACATAATTGCTTTGTGCAATTTAATTCTAATACCTGACACATCTTGCAGAACAATATCAAGGCCATGATTGGTATAATCTAAAATGAGCAAAGGGCTATATGTCATCGATACTGCATCTGCTAAGAATAGTTCTATCATTTGTAGCACTAGCACTAGTTCTCTTATATGGCATTATAGATTAGGTCATATCTCTAATGCTGGCTTACATGCCATTTGTAAATACTATCCTTTTATATCAAATAAAAATGCTTGGTCTCCTTGTGATGCTTGCCATTATGCCAAACAAAAGAAATTATCTTTTTCTTTAAGCACTACTACTTCTCATGCCCCTTTTGAATTGTTGCATGGTGATCTCAGGGGACCCTTCTCCACCACTTCAATACTCGGCCATAGATATTTTCTCACCCTTATTGATGATTTTAGTAGGTTCAGTTGAGTGATTTTTCTAAAAACTAAAGATGAAACCAAAACTCAACTCATCACCTTCATAGCTTACATTGAAAACCAATTTCACACCACTTTAAAATGTCTAAGAACAGACAATGGCTCAGAATTTTCAATGGATTCCTTTATTCATTCCAAAGGAATTATTCATCAAAGAACATGTGTTGAAACTCCACAGCAGAATAGTGTAGTGGAACAAAAACATCAAACACATTCTTAACATGGCTAGATCCCTTGCCTTCCAAGCTAACCTTCCTCTTAACCTGTGTGCTACACAACTTGCTATCCATATAATCAAGAGACTCCTACTCCTCTCCTAAATTTCAAAAGTCCTTATGAACTCCTTCACAAAGAACTCCCATCCATTATCCACCTAAAGGTTTTTGGCTGCTTGTGTTATGCATCTTCCCTCCTTGCTCATAGAACCAAATTCGATACAAGGGGCAGAAAAGCTATGTTCCTTGGTTTCATAGATGGCACTAAGGGTTATATTCTATATGACTTAAACTCGGATAACATTTTTGTCTCTCGAAATGTCATTTTCTATGAGACACATTTTCCTCTTAAACCTCCCACTTCCACTTCCATTCCTGCACCAGACCTCCCTCAAACTCAGCCACCTTTGGACCTTGACATCAACCCTATCAACCTTACAACTGATCCTCCTCTTGACTCTCCTCCTGAATCACCAAAATCCCCTCCACCTACCTCTGCAGCCATTGATATGCCACATCCCTCACCCTTTCCTACTCCTGATCATCATATTCATATCAGTATTATACAGCCTACCCCGTCTTCTCCTACTCATTCTCCTCCTTCCCTGCCAACAAGAAAATCTGTTCGAATCACTAAACCTCCTTCTTATTTGAAGGATTTTCATTGTAATTCTGTGATGCATAACCATCATGATACTCATAGTCATACTGCATATCCTTTATCTTCTGTGCTCTCTTATGAACATTGCACACCCTCATATCATGCTTTTTATTGCTCCATCTCTACTAACATTGAACCTCTAACTTACAAACAAGCCTCCCAACATGATTGTTGGAAGCAAGCCATGAAAGTTGAGTTACTCGCCCTTGATCAGAATCAAACTTGGTCTCTTGTTGAACTTCCACCAGGTAAAACTATTGTTGGTTGCAGGTGGGTTTATAAGCTTAAGCATCGAGTAGATGGCACCATTGAAGGTGTGGATTTCTTCGATACATTCTCCCCAATTGCCAAACTCACCACAATTATAGTTCTCCTTGCCTTAGCTGCCATCAATAATTGGCATCTTCAACAGTTAGATGTCAATAATGCTTTCTTGCATGGCGACTTAAATGAAGAAGTGTACATGGCTCTCCCTCCTGGTCATCATTCCTCTGACACTTATCCTACTCAAGTTTGCAAATTTAACAAATCCATCTAGGTTTGAAACAAGCAAGCCGCTAGTGGTATTTCAAACTCTCTAATGCTCTTATCAACTTGGGTTATAAACAGTCTCAAGCTGATTATTCTCTCTACACTAAGACTGAGGCATCCTCTTTCACAACACTTCTGGTTTATGTCGATGACATAGTGCTCATAGGCAATTCTCTTGACCAGATTATTCATGTCAAGACATTTCTTGACCACACCTCATGTATTAAGGATCTTGGTAAACTGAGGTTTTTCCTGGACTTAAGATTGCTCGATCAGATGAAGGCGTTGTTGTTAATCAAAGAAAGTACACACTCGAACTTCTTGAGGAATCTGGTACCTTAGGAGTCAAGCTATCCCCTATTCCTCTAAACCCTAATACCAAACTTTCTAAAACTGAAGGAAACCCTTTATTTGACCCTACTTCTTATAGAAGACTCATTGGTAGACTTCTATACCTCACTCATACCAGGCCCGATATAGCCTTTGCTGTCCAACACCTCAATCAGTTCATTTCCAACCCTTTAACATCTCATTTCACTGCAGCCATCAACATTCTCAAGTACCTCAAATCTTCTCGAGGCAAAGGTATATTCTTTTCTAGTACCTCACCAATCAAACTCCATGGTTTTGCTGACTCTGACTGGGCCAGATGTTCAGACTCTCGCAAGTCCATGACTGGCTAATGCGTTTTCCCTGGAACTTCACTCATTTCATGGAAGTCCAAGAAGCAACAGACTGTTTCCCGTTCTTCCACTGAGGCCGGATATCGTGCCCTTGTCTCCTTAACTTGTGAACTGCAATGGCTCCATAACCTCATCTCAGATTTCTCCATCCATTTACCTACTCCTTCCTCCATCTATTGTGACAACAAATCTGTCATTTATCTAGCTCACAACCCTACTTTCCACGAGAGAAGTAAACATATCGAGATCGATTGCCATGTGATTCGTGAGAAGATTCAAAATAAATCAATCACACTTCTTCCAGTTTCAAGTTCAAATCAGCTTGCAGATGCTTTTACAAAGACCTTACACCAAGGCCCTTTCACTACTAACATGTCCAAGTTAGGTTTATGCAATTTGCACCGTCCAACTTGAGGGGGGGATGTTACGTATCGCAGTTGCTTGCCATGCAAGCTACTTACCTTTTTACCTTCCTTACATAGTTAGTTAGTTAGTTGGTTTGTGTGGTTGTGTTAGTTACTAACTAACCGTTTCTAATCTCTTTATAAGAGGGATCTCTTTGTAATCTTTGTAAGGAAGATTGATCCTTTCTTTTGGCTTAATGAGAATGAGGTATTGGTTGCACCATTAACACTTGTTCTGTTTCACTTACCCATTTACCCTTATGGTTCGAACAATGATGCCTTGTGTGATTTTTTTGGAGCTTCTGATTCTTCTTTTATGTTTTACTATAATACTATAAACTATGTATGCTTTGTTCTTATTCTTACTTTTTCTTTCAATAGATTCATTAACTCGTTTCCTACATGACATAGATTCTAGATTTACTATTAATGCTGCATGCTGCTCTTAATGAAAAGCGATTTCGGCAATCTATTTGCCTGTCTTCATTAAAATTACAAATGTAGTACTAGCAGCTGTAAGATTCTTTATAATATGTCAACTAAGTTAAAATTGTTTTCTTGATAATTGTATTTGGTTTTTTTCGAGTCATCATTTAGGATATCTTTCTGTTTGGTTTGCAGTTAGAGAGACAGTTGAGCAGTATGGTCAACAAAATTGAAAAGTGAAGAACAAGATGATGAGCGATAACATGGTTTGATTAATCTTGGGGACAGGGGCATATCTTATTACCATATGTGAACTTGTGGTTGCGGCAGACAGCAATTTTTGAGATGCTATTCCTTGAGTCACGTGTAAAATTTAATTTATTTGACAAGATACTCATATCATGTAATTATGAATCTTTCTTCCCCTTCATTTCTCCCCTCTCTTCCCAAATAATAATGACTCTTGAGGATTCTGATTAATGCATATATAAGTTTTTTAGCTCCTTAATACCGCTCTTTGCCTTAGTGTTTCAACTAATTTATCGTTGGATGGTCTTTCTTCATATCATCTGCTGTTTGAACCGCTTATGCAGGTAGAGAGACACTGAAGAGGCGAGTTTTTGAAATTGTGTGACCCATGTTACCTCTCACCTCTTTTTTTATATGCAGTTTAATTGTATGGCTATCCTCCTTACTAGGCAAGTTAAGGGATGATTTGTGTTTGGTATTTATTAAGGAGGCACTTAGAAAGGTTTATTTAGAGTTATCTTATGTTAAAAGTGTTAGAACAATCACTGCTTCCATAATAATCACAATAAGGAACAATATTAGAATACCATTGATATTTGTTATTTATAAATTATGTCAGTTAATTTTATTATTTTATCAGTTGTATTTATAGTATGAGTTTTATTTTAAGTATACCACGTTTTGTTTTGAGGAATTGATTTTGTGTATCTTCTATGAAAAGAGTATTGTTTTACTGTGATTTCATTTGGTCAGGCGATGTGAATGTTAAGAAATTGGTGACTTTTTTTTGGCATAAAGTTTGTAATCATGTGGATTAAGCGAAAGACCTGTTTCTTTGAGGTTATGTTGAGAGATGGTTAAATCTAATCTTGATTGAAGTATTCTTTTTGAAGCTAGGGTCATCAGAAATTCTAGACATGTTTTTTTTATCATGTTCAATCTAGTTTGTGTTCTAGTTTAAGAGATTATATGCCTTTTATAGAGGATAATTTAAATGCCAGGTGGATAATAGAAATCAAATAGATTTTGGTTATGATTCTTGATTATATTTTCAATGTATTTCTAAAGGTTTCTATTGGAAACTTAACCGTTAGCATTATCAGTTTATTTGTCCATCTTGTTAGTTTGTTAGTCAGTTAGTCCACCTCATAGTTTTTTAGTTTGTTACATACCAATTATATATGGGAAATGTTCTTTCCACCTGTCATAACACTTTTAAAAATTCAAAATTGTCCTTCTTTGTGTTTGGTTCTTTGTGTTTGGAGATGCATCTCTGGACGCATTCAAATCACAATTAAAATATGCTATTTTGAGATCTATCACAATTTTGAACAAAATATGGCCTGAGGATGCATATCCGTATGATATTTAAGTGTATTTGGATAAGCATCTTCGAAATGTATTGGGAAAATTTCTGAAAGCATGGTAAATTGACGCAGTCGGGAGCTCTAAGAAATAGCAAACGTTAAATTTAGAATGAAAACAGGGTTATGAACGCAAAATCTGTTAGATAAGCTCCAGAGTCCACCAAGGATAAAGAAAAATTTAAATTTTATTATATGAAAGACAACTCTTAAGACAATGTCAAAAGTCTTTAAATACATAAAACAAAATAATTCTAATGGGTCGTATGAACCTTTAATCCAAAACAAAATTAAAGAAATAAAATAAATCAAATATAAATTGCTAAAATTTGTAGAAAATAGTAAAAATGCTATTTTCGGGTCTGAAACGAATTTAAATGGCTTAAAATTCATATATCATTGCATAGCAATGTGTTGAATTTCTGGATTGATTTTCTTTTTGAAAAGTTATAATACGAGTAATTCTGACATCAGACACCAAACTTGCGTAAATCCTGTTGAACTGTTCTGACGCACAACTTTTACTTTGATATGCACATATAACTCTCCTACATCAATCTCCTTCACTTCAAAAGAATTCAATCCTGAATTCTCTTCTTGATAAGGAGCTTCATCTAGCTACAACTTGCTGTAAGTACCAACCAGTAATCTCTCTTTACACAAACACTATTTCATCTTCTCCCACATTGAAAACGTTAACTACCATGTGTTTATCTCACATAGGTGGAAAATTGTTTGGTATCTCATCTGTGGTCAACTCTTTGAAATCATTTAGGAACCCTAACACTTCTTTTGAAATTATTGTTTTCTCCTTTACAACACTCATCACCCCTTTAGTCGGTACAAGGCATAAAAATTCAGTTTCTTTAATAGCCTCATCAAACTTTTGTTCACTATGTGTCATCACCAAGAAAATAGACTTCTTTCCTCCTGTATTTTTATTAAAGTGCAAAACAGGATCAATAACAATTTTATGTGTGCCCCATGTACACATCACCATGTTATCCCATCCCCGATAAGTGATATCATTATTAAATTAGTAAGACCTACAAATAAAACATGACAAACATCCATATCAAAATTTTCATCTTTTACCTTATTGATTTGCAAATGTTCCACCTTTTCACCCACGTCATGATTTTCACCCTTGCTTACAAGCATTTCAAAAGTTTGTAGCTTTAAATTTTTACTTAAAAGACATTTCTCAGATTTCAAAGCAACTGCAATTGTAAAAGAATCTTCACTCACTTTAGTACAAGAATCAAATTGAGAAGAAATACCATTATCTTCAAGTTGATTTTTGTAATTGATTGCGAGACTCTCATTCCATAAATGCCTTTGTGCTTCGCCTTCAAATTTATCAAATTCATCATCACCATAATTTACTATAGTATTCTTTGCGGCCCCTTTGACAATTTTGGACCTTGCCTCTTCAACAGTAACTGTCTCCAATTTCTTTAGTTTAGGAATATTACTCTCAGATTTGTAAGGTATAGAACTTTTCTGCAAGGTGTGTAAATTAGAAACTTTTACTCGAGAAAAAAATCACCGAAAGGTGATGACTTCTGTAGGCCTGATGATTTTATTGTTCCTGTTTGATGCCTTCTGGATGGTGGACGTAGAACGGAAATTGGATTATCCAAAAGTTTTCCACCCCGTGGAACCTTAACTTGTTCTCCTCTCCTGTCTCTTCGTTGTTTTTCGTTGTTGTTGGTGTTCTTCCCCTGATTTTCTAAATTGGCCATCTGTTCAGTCAAATCAGTTAGAATCGCGGTAAAATCCACAATAATTTCCTCTAAATTTGCTTTGGTTGCTGGTTGATCCGCCATAGTTGTCAAGCTACGGAAAGAAAATGAGAAACCTGCTCTGATGCTAACTGACGCAGTTGGAAGCCCTAAGAAATAGCAAGCTCTAAATCTAGAATGAAAACAAGGTTGCAAGCGTAAAACCTGTCAGATAAACTCTGAAGTCCACTAGGAATAAATAAAAGTTCAAATTTTATTATATGAAAGATAACCCTTATGGCCATGTCAAAGGTCTTTAAATACATAAAACAAAACAATCCTAATGGGTCTTATGGGCGCTTAATCCAAAACACAAATAAATAAATAAAACAAATCAAATATAAATTTCTAAAATTGTAGAAAATAGTAAAATGCTATTTTCGGGTCTGAAACGAATTTAAATGGCTTGAAAATCTATATATCACTGCAAAGCAGTGAGTTGAACTTCTGGGCCGAATTTGTTTACATTGTGTTATTTGTTTTGTCTTGGGAAGAATTTGTTTTAAATCCTAAAAGCCAATTCAAACCCCCACTTCTTGTGTTTCTCACACCTTCACTTTTGATTTTGTAAAAAAGGAAAATTTACTAATGTCGTACACAATCAAAGTTAATACTTTAAATTTTGGTATGTATGACATCCATTTAATTGTCTCAGACATACTATCATCATTAAAAATCCTTTTATTAAACCAACTTATGAAATTCTTGTTATGCTCATTCAACAACCACTTGTCACTCATTTGGTGTTATCTTTCCTCGATAAGTATTTTCTGAGTAGATATGTAAGGTTCAACTTCGTCAACATTATTCAATATATATAAACGTGCTTAAAGAACTATATCCAGAGGCATTTTAATAATAAGTCTTGAGTATCTCTACCCCCATATCTGTCATCACAACGAGACTTTGGAATTCTTATAGACTCCACTTTCGATAAATAGTTTAAACAAAACTCAACAACTTCTTCTATGGTGTACCTTTCAATAATCTAAGCTTCTAATTGATGATGGCTCTTCATATATTGTTCAAAGATATTCATGTATCGCTCTAATGTATCCCAGCAACATAAAAATAACATCAATATCACTCAATTACAACAACACTAATATGAATGATACACTAACACTACACACAACATACTAATATGATTATATTCTACATACACATATATACAACAACACTCTCACATATATAACATTTAATAACACCAAAACCTAAAACACAATATGAAATAGAGAATATACCGTAAAATTTAACAACATCAAATCCTAAAACTCAACATGAATGGTGATAAAGGTGATGAAATATAGAACATACCGTAAATTGAAGAAGAGGAAGAAGATGAAGTTTGTGTGCACTTACTTTCGTGTTGTAAGAACAAGAAGTTTGGATGTTCTAAGAAATGAATGACAGGTAAGAAGATGAAGTTTGGAAGTCTATTTCACTATCGTTTTCGTTTGTTCTTTGTAAATTGAAGAAGAGGAAGAAGAAGTGCTTTGTGTGCGCTTACTTTCGTGTTGTAAGAACAAGAAGTTTGGATGTTCGAAGAAATGAACGAGAGGTAAGAAGATGAAGTTTGGAAGTCTGTTTCACTAAATTTTTTGTTTGTTCTTTGCTAGGGCCCTTGTGTTATGAAGGAAATAAACTAAACCTTATATATTTTGAAAAACCTTGTGTATACAAGGTACTAATGGCCAGGGACTTAGAGTATTTTGGAGTTCAAGTTGGAGCAAGATTCAACAAGATTATATAAACCAAGAATTCGACAGAGGTAAATTTTAAATAAGGCTGATTAACCGTCTTTTGATCTTATCCAATTCGTAAGGATGCATGGAAGCATGAGAATATCGAAATACATGTAGAAGAAAATGTGTCATCCTTAGAGGCAAAGATGTTTGTTACTGTTAGTATCAAATTAGTATAAATAGAAGTCTTAGGATCAGATTTTAGGGATTCACATTATACCAAAACTCATAAATACTCGAAGTATCTAAGTGTTATCGAGAAAAGAGTGTCTGAGAAATATACAAATGAATCATTTCATTTTTATTCAATATCAGGTTACTTATTTTAACATCATTTTTGTTCCTTTACATTTCCTTTAAAATCTTATTTACACTCTTTTACTTTTTATCAATCATTCTCGCATTACCTTTAAAATTCCTTTTATTGTCGAAGTAATTATTACCAAGAAAACCTAAAAAAAATACTAAACATATATGTCCCAGGATCAATCT